AGGTGGTAGTGGTGCACGCCTTTGATCCCAGAACTAGAGAGCATTATAAAACGAGCAGACAGCTTCCAGACACAGCAGTCTCATTCTGAGATTCCTGGAGGCAGGACTGCCATTTCCGACAGAGGTAGAGGTAAGAGCCAAAGTGGCTGGTTGTTTTGCTTTTCTGACCTTCAGGTAGACCCCCAGTTTCTGTCTCTGGGTTTTTATTAATTGTGCTACAGGGCACTTATTTTAAAAAGATCCTACAGGCTAATGTGTGATTCATAAACTTCACCTAATCATTCCCATGCCACAAGCTTGTCACAGTTTAACATTAATAGTCAAGTTTCACTTTTTTGCATCAGACATTTCAAATACAAGCACACTTTTTTTTTCCCCCTGGAGAAATTCTACTTGCATCAAAATACAACTAACCCATTGATTGGATGTTACACTTGTGAAAGAGGTTCATGAAATCTTTATCCATGCTGTTTTATTACTATTTGTGAACATCACCATACATGCACAGGTAGAGGTCAGAGGACAACTCGCAGTTGGCTCTCTCCTTCAACCTTGTGGGTGGGTTCGGGAGATCAAATTCAAGCCACCAGGCTAGGTAGGCAGCAAGTGCCATCTTTTTGAGTTTGTGGTCCCTATGAATTTTAAAGACACAACATACTGTGTAAGTACATTCAGCCACTACCCAGGCAGTGCACTAAAGGCACATCCATCCAACAGTGCTCAAGCAAGAGCCAGGATTAAGCAACAGTTGTACTTCTTGCATAGAACTTAAGAACTTTGTAATGGATTTATGTCCACAAGTGAAAGAGGATGCTCTCTGGTCCTCACTCTGAATTCTCTATCATGAAGATGACTGGCTTCCACTGTTTAGTTTATCAGAAAAGGGACCGGAGACAGACAGTGCCCAGGCATCTGCATTAACAAGCCACAAGTAAATCTTGGCGATACAAAAGCAGAAGAATTATTTCTTCAAGGAAGATGTCATTTTTTAGCTTGAGCCTGGTAGTTGTCATGGCATTCATCAAAACAACCCTCTTTACAGTGGAGATGCTGTCCTCTCTCAAGCCAAAGTGGGAAGTAGCAAAGCTCCAAACACCAGTCAAGTTTCCTCCTGGTCTTCCTGACCTGTCTCCAGGTCTGTTTCACTTAATTGCTAAACAAGACCAAAAGAGAACCTTGTTTTATATGACTTTATTTTATATTTAGAGCCATTTTATGCTGAACTTTAAAAAAAAAAAGAAAAAGCCTCACTCTGCTTTTATTATTACTAAAAGCATTTTAACCAAACTCTTGATTTAGGAAGACCTCAGATATTCTGCATTATTTTCAATAACGCATTATTTTAAATATTTTTATCCTTTCAGTAACTATTAAAAATAAGTTTGCAATTAGGGTTTCAAGTGCCCTAGTCTAATTTGTTCATTTGCTACTGATCAAGCTTGTTGTGTGCACACAGGACTTACGTTGATGTTTTATACCTTTCAAATGCTTGTTGGCACTTAATTGAGAATAATATTTGTATATAACAACCAATGTCTCACTTTGGCTAACTTACACACATAATACATAGTGGTGTTGTGTAAGTTTTAAGCAACCTTCACTACTATGTTCAGTTTCAAATATTTTAGTGTTAGCAGGGTTGGGAGTGCCGTGTGCTTCAGTCTTTAAAAGAAGTTACATAGTAAAAGTGCAGTCCCTTTCTTTAAACATGACAATTATCCAAGGCCAGAAGTCCGAGCAGGGATTGAGAAGAAAGGTGAGAGACGACAGAACTTCTCCCATTTTTCATATTTAAAGTGACAACTTAACTCCTAGGGGGACTTTCTGTCCCTTGTTATCCCACTGAATAAAACTGCGAAGTCCACAAAGTGTAAGGGCATTGTTCAAAGACCAGATAGAGTCATTTAAAAAACAAAAGAACCTGTCACTTAGTTTTCAGTTAGTTAACTCAAACTTTCTGTGCCAAGTGATGGTTACACATCACTTCTGCTTATAAAAAGAAAAGGCCTGGCTGGGTACCATTCATGATTCTCTGCTAACTGTAAAATGTGGACTGGTTTTCTTAACTTTCTTATAGTCCATACATATGTATATAAACTTAAAAAAAAAAGTATGAATATAACCATGTCAGTGCATTGCCCTTAGCTTTAAAAATGTATAAGTATATAAATAAAAACTGTTTCTTCAATTACTTGGCATTTCTTCTGTAATTTATTTAAAAAAGTAAAATGTAACAAGATATTTTAAAAAGGCTAGATACAAAAGTATTTAAGCTGCTCAAGAACATTTAAAATTTTCCAAAATGTATTTTCAGTAATCATGATCTTATAAATCATTTTACAGTTACCAGGAAGTGCCCAGCTGGGTATACATAACTGAATTCCCTTAGCACAAAGGTCTGGCTAGGACTGAAGGGCAGGAGCCTGTCTAACTGCCTTGGAACAGGTACAAAGAAGAGACGGTGACTCTAATAAGGATTGTGCATTGGCCCCACCATATGTACAAAAAAAGTGCCCTCTCTCAACTCAACAAATTACATGCAAATATTAGTGGTATCGTTTAATATCCTGGAGCTCAATGCAGCGAAAATAACCCGCAGTAAAAGTGGGTTTTATAGGTAAAAGTGATTTTTGTCTCTAAAATCTGGATGTCAAGAACTTTTTACAAGTTCCATATACATGATACACAATTGCAGCCAACCACAAATTAAACACCATAAAAAAGTTAAAAGAAAAACACAGAACATACTTAATTTTTTATTTTGAAATCCCCTAATCCCTCTGTACAAGAGCCTCTGTCGAAAGGCTTCCCACAAAGGCAGCACTGCATGTTCAGAGCATCTCCCCCCACAGAAAACAAAGTCACAGTGTAGGTTATGTTGTTCTGCTCTCAGCTTTGGCTGGGGT